ACAGGCTCTGTCTTGACTGATTTGTGCACTGTAGGTGTTGAGTGAGGAGGAGGTCTTTCCATTTGTATCCATAGATAAAGGTGCAAATGGAACTCAAGCACTAGACCTTGTGACCAAACGCCCAGCCAGCCCTCTACCTGGGAATTGAAGGAGTATGCCAAGAACTGTACAAAGCTCTTAACTCACTGGTCTCCTATCTCCTAGACCTAGGACTCGCTATAGTGAATTCATCCTTTGGATTTAGTTGGACTCTGACAGCCCCCTGCTTTAACAAAGCTGACTAGCAGTGCAGTACCTTTTTTTGGAGGGGAAGGGGACTAGAGAGGAAATTCCTTCCTGATCCCTGTAGGGTGTTGGTTACATCTGTCTCATGATTATTTGAAAGGCACTTACTGACCTCATAGGGCCCAGAGTTGGATGGATGCTGAAGTGTGGGCAAGAAATCAGGGAGGTCTCTGCACTTCCTGCAGCTTTCAGAAGGGAGAGGGCAAATGATTGGTAGACTCAGATTCTGATACTTTATTCCAAGCTGTGCATGTTTTTGACCTCCACGATTTCATTACTGAGGAATCTCAAATTTAAATGATCATGTAGAAACTGAGGGGAGGGACACTTGAGGAACTCTGTTAGTAGTTCAAGGGACACAAGCAGCCAATGTCTCTCCCCCCTACTGTAGCTGCAGGGTGACATCACTGATCAACTGCAGGAGTCTAGGGTTGGTGAGCTCCTGCCAGCCAACAAGCAGTGTCTAGCTGTCAGTCAGCACACAGTATCAGCAACTTACGATCGGAGTATTCATTTTTGTTATCTTATCCTTCAAGTTGCAGCCAGGGTACAGCTATTAGATTCTTGGCCAAAGGCTGCATTGGAAACTTGCCTTGTCTACACTGGCCTCTTCTCCTCTTGCGCCCCCACCCCTATATCCCATTAAAACTTCCCACTTGCTAACAAGTGCAGATGCTAGAGTTGCAGCCCTCGGGTGCCCCATCTTACAGGGAAGCTAGCCAGCTTGGTGTCGTTATATTCTTGATGGACAGTAAAACCTGATCTTGGGCTCAGTCTTCACCACAAAACTACCCACTCTTCCTCTTACTTTTGCAGTGCTGAGATTTGGTATGACCTGTGACTCCCACAGCCCCTGTGACCTGGATGACTTGACACCTGACCTTCATCTCTTCTTTTCGCTAAACGATGCTGACTTCAAAATGGCCTTTGCCAGCAAGAGGCTAGTGAAGATGGGCTTTGTGTGGAAAGCAACCCAACTTTCTTCTCACTCTCATATGGCGAACAAGTCAAATGCCACTTGAGTGCAGCCATATTATGTCTTAAACACATCAGGCCTCTATGGCCTGACTTACCTTCCCCTCCGTGTGCCAGGCCCCTCCCCCCCCACACACACACCCTGCCCCCTTTTCCACAGAAATATTGGGCTCCTGCTGACTTCAATGGGTGTGGGTGATGCTGGACTCCTGTTCCAGACTGTATTTCAGGGTAGGTCTGAATAGTTTTGTAGAATCTATGCCAACTTAGTTAAAAGGATTCAATACCCTAATATGTACACGTCTAAAAATCTATTTAACTTAACTTGCAGTAGTAAAACTTCTAAATTGTGCTGTCCACACTAGCATGTTGAACTGATCTAACCTGTTTCTTCCCCCCCCCCCCCCCGATGATCTAGTTAAATTGGTGCCAAAACTGATGTAGACAAGCCCCAGGTAGTCCTTCTACCTGCCCTCTCTTAGGGAGGGAAGCTGCCACTGTACTGGCTGGCACTACAGGCCTGAGCCTACAGTAGGGATCAAATAAGCTTTATTTTAAAGTGATTTTTTTTAAGTTAAGTCTGCATCAGCTATGAACTTGCCAGGCATCTATTAAAACTTCAGTTTCCTTTTAATGCTGTATTTCTAATTCTTTAAGCGTTCCTTTCTGCAGACTCTATTCTTGTATCTCTCTCTGGCTTCTTCCAAACAAACTCAGTGCTTTTGTTACAAATGTCAAGTCTTTCACCTCTGGCATAAGAAAACAGTCACCTCTGTGCCTTATCTGTAAGCTGGAGTAAAAGTGACTTGTCTGACATCACATATGAAGTCTCTGGCAGAGCTAGAAATAGAACCCAAGTGGCCAGATATTTAGTCCTGTGCTTAGCCAACAGGTCCTTGCTCTCTACCTCTTGAAGGGTAGTTGCTTGTGAGGTTGTCAGGCACTAGATCCAGTCTAGACCTGCAATGACATGACTAGCTAAACAAATCAAACCTCTAGAATCAGCAAATATGGTCACTGCAAAGGACATGAAGTAGTCTCTAACCACCCCCCCAGGTAAAGCATTGTACAATTACTAGTGGCATGATCAGAATAGGGGAGTTTGCCTTCCTTGGCTCCTGCTGGAGGAAGGATATAGGAATAGATGGTATATTGGCTTATTTTAATAGTAAATTCTAAGTTTTCCCCATCGGAAAGAGGATCAACCTCTACCTGCTGGCACTCAAAGTAACATTAGCCACTTTCTGCTAAGCAAGCATTTTTGTGAGAGAAGGGTGCTAAAGGAAGGGAAGAGCTTCTCAACATACTCTCCCCTCTGACTTCTGCTCTTCCTCTTGCATGGATCTTTGCTGACTACCATTAATCAGGAATATGTGCAACAGCTCCTTCTGCATCTGACTGGAGTAGAAACCACCCCTCCTGTAGTGACTGTTTGCTAAGTGTGCCTGCAACTCTTTAATTTAAGAGGCAAAACTTTACTTTGAATGGGCTTTCAAGGTCCTGCTGTTCTAGAACATTGGTCAGGCTCATTCTTATGGCTGTCAACTGAAAATCAGCTTCCTGCTGACAAGTGTGACAGTGTGAGCGCTTTCCCTTGTGGCATGAGTGTGAATTGCTCATGTTCCTCTCTCTAGTTTGTGAGGGCTGCCTGACTGTTGAAACAGTCACTTGTTAATGTTTCAGCTGTACCAGTAAACATCTTGCTTGCAAGACCCTACAGCAGGGAATAAGGGGGACCTATCCTAGACTAACAACAGTTCACCTTTGCTGTCACGTGCTCACTAGGGACTGAAATCATGATCCTCTCTAGTAAATGGCAGTTAAGTGCTCACTAGACTCCTAAAAGATGAGTGGTGGTAGTGGGAGAACAGAAATCATTGTCAGATTATACATGGAGGTGATTAAGCCTACCGTGGAAGTGCTTCTGTTGGAAAGGATTTCATCTGTGGGGCACTAGGAAGTGCAAGTATCTTAGTTACATGGAAGGCCTTACTCCTGATACCTTTAACCTCACTAAAAAGCAGGCTCTGTGCAGTACCTCTCCCTATCTCTCGCACCAAATTTATTTATATAGTTTAATCACACTTTAAGGTTCCATTTACAACTCACTGACTACAAATTTTAGCATGTTACAAATAGGGATAGCATCTGATGTTAGCCTATTAGTAGGTATTACAGGTAAACAACCTAGGCACCTGTTGGACTGTGAACGATTTATTAAAATGTTATAAATGAAATGAAATCTTCAAATAAGTGAAGTTTTCTCTCGTTTAAGTGGCTGCTGTCTGACTTAGTAACACAGCAGGAACTATTTTTTAACAGCTGAGATCAAACTAACCTAGTCTTCTTCCTGTCTTGGTTGCTTTCTGCCTTTCTTAGTACAGGTATTTAGCACCAGCTCTTTCTAGGCAGTGCCACTATGTAGACTGGATATATGGCAGAGGGCTGGGATTTTATGATCCATTCTGCCCTGGTTAGAGGAAGCAGCAGTTTTCACATTAAATAAGCATAAAGAATGAGAGCTGCCAGAGGTGTTTAGTTTAATTAAAAAGAAAAAAAGCCTTCATTATAAAGCAGTAAATTATTTTTTTAAAAAAGCTTTAGAAATACCAGGAATGGAATGTCTGGTCCCTGATGAAAGTAAGGGTGTGTGGCAGGCGATCTGTGTTAGAGCTATCACCTTGTCGAGGAGAGACTTTAGCAAAGACATTTCTCCCCAGCATTCATTAGGCTTTGGCATTAAATAGCTAAACAAGGGACAAACTCCCTTTCCCCTCACTTGCTAGAGCTTTTTTGCTCAGGTCACATCATTGGTTCCCTATGTAAGATAAGTTCTGTTTAAATAGAGGCAGAATTTGGTTATCAAGAGGCAGGAGAACAACCACCCAGTTCTCACCTTATCCCCTCCCACTCCATTTAGTGTCATCATTGTGTCTCCTAGCACTGGCATTGAAGAGCAGTTTTGTTTGGTGTGGTCTGGTCTTGTTTTGTGTGCATATCTTTATTAAAAAAAAAGGGGGGGGGCTAGTCAGCTGGAACTTCAGCAAAATAAAATGACAATGTCTTTAGGATCTTTAAGTGGCTGCAGTGGAATGTCTAAACTCTGCTCTAGATCTTATTGTCTGCTTCATGGGTTAAATAGTTCAGCAGCCCTTAGTGCTTTTTACCTTCAGCATACTTTACACTACATTAAGTGCAGAATGAGAATAAGGAATTTAAAAGATACAAAAATTCAATTGACTTTTCCCCAGTCTTCTTGTACAGGGGAAAGGGAACATTTTGCACAGAAGCAGCTGAGAAATTGCTATTCGAGTAAAGGCCTGCAGAGTTCCAAGATTATGCTAAAGCTTCCTGTAATCTTCCCTCAAACAAAACCAACTCTGACCATCGGCAGCCAGTGGATCATGGATGGGATAGTTACTCAAACTGCTGAAAGGGGGAAAGTTAGAAATCAGAGGACCAGATTTTCCTACTACCCCATACTCTCCAGTGAAAATCCTTTAGCTAAGACTCCCTCTTGAAGTATGTATGAGACAAAGCCTGCCCAGAGCAAGTCATTGAGGGAGGAGGCAGGTCTGACCCAGCTCCCTCTGATTAGTGGTCTGAGTCCCTAGAGTTTCTATTCACTTCTAGGGCTCCCTTCTGCAATTGCTTAGAAGCTGACTGTAGTAGAAGGGGAGGAAATAAGCCTGCTTGGGAGCCATGTGGTCCTTATCTCAGAGGCAACAGGGCAGCAGGGATCAGAGACTGAACAAAGATTGCACCTGTTCTGCAACGAGAGAGAAAGAGAAGGTAGTTTGATGGCTGAGCCTGGGCCATGATTCTGGCTCTGCAGCCTCAAAGGGTTAATCAGCATTCCACCACCATTGCTATCAGTGTCCTGCTCTCAGGATCACTCCGCTACCAATGAGAGCTTGTTCCAAAAATGTAATACTTCCATTCTGATTTTCATTGGCCAAGTGTGTTGTTCAGTATCAGCTAGAGGATAAATTTCTTAAGCAGCCAGGAGAATAACCCTGCTCATAGTTGAATTTCTGTCAAGTACTTATCTTCAAAAGGGAGCTAGATAGATTCATGGAAGATAGCCATTGATGGACCTATTTGCCAGGAATGATGTCCCTAGCCTCTGTTTGCCAAAAGCTGGGATTGGGGGACAGGGCATGGATCACTTGATGATAACAACCTGTCTGTTCATTCCCTTTGGGGCACCTGCCATTGGCCACTGTCAGAGGACCAGATACTGGGCTTGATGGAACTCCCGCCCCCTCCCCCCTTTTCTCCTCTGGCCTAGGTTACAGCTCAATGAGGCACAGAGCCACCCTTACTTGTAAGGGCTCCACCCTAGAAGACCCATCTTCTTCAGCCATCCAGTCTAGCCCTCTGTATTTTCTCCTTCCCCTGGTCTGTCCACACACTTATTACCTCTACAGTTCTCTTACTAGTGTAACCTCACAACAAGTCTTGGGAGACCCTGCTTTCCAGCACCACTCATCCTAGCTCCAAAGCCTCAGTGGGGGCTACTGTCTCTTGGTATGTACCTGGTTTGCTCAAGCTCTGGCTCACTAAGTCGAGGGCCTCCTCAGATAGAGCCCGTATCTCTTCCTGGAACTTTCTGCACCCTTCTGGTGTCAGCTTCCACAGGCGTGACTTGCGGTTGCCCTCGTTGCACACAAAGTGGGAGGTTTTTTCAAAGCTGCTACTGAAGCACAGATTGTGACGAATGGTGTTTTTCCAGCCATCTGGGGCTGTCTGGAAAAAGGGAAAGTGCTGCCTGCAGAGAGAGAAGAAGGGCACAGAGCTAGGTTCACAAGCAGGGCAAGCCCAGAGCACAGAATTGGCTACACTGGCCACTCTAGTCATGAGGTCAATGTTTCTTGTCACAACCAGAGTGCACCTGATCATTTGTGGAACATACATGGATGTAAGAAGATGAGATTCCTCCCAAGCCCCTGTACCATTAGGTTTGGCTGGACCAGTTGAACAGAGTAATGTTAAGTGGCAACAGGCCAGAACTAAAACTCCAAGTCTGAATACTCCTGAATTTGGGCATTTAAATAAAAATCCATGTCCTCTCTAATGGGAAGAAAAGGGAAGTGACTTGCCCAGTGTCTCATGGTGAGTCAGTAGTAGAGCTAAGAATAGAACCCAGGAGTCCTGATTTCCAGTCCCCTGCCCTAGCCATACTTCCTCCCCTAGTAAAAGCTAGGACATACACCCATGCCCCTTTAAACTCCCCTTGTCCTAGCATGGGGGAGTTAGGAGGGCTGTGGGTACCGTGTGAATTGGTAGATCTGCTGCACAGTCAGGCTGCCTTCTGCACTGTTACGCAGGGCCAGGGTGATGAGGATGCAGTAATTAAGTGGGGGCCGGGGCCATCCCCCTTTGATTTTGGTGCTCGCCTGCAGGATGTACTTGAGCTTCTTGCTCAGAGATCTGGGGACCTTTGGTTTCTGGAGTGCCAGAACAGCCTTAGATTTGGGAGTCTCCATTTTCTGAGGGAGTGAGATGTCCACCGATGAGGCATCTTCATCCTCGGTGAACTAGGGACAAGAGGGGTGGAAGAGATGGGTTAGGGAGTCAGTGAGTAGACAGGATGCGTGTGGGAAGATGCACATCAGCAGCCTGTGTGTAATGAGTTTGGGCCTCAGTCCCGTTCCCAGTGGTGATGTGTCCCCATCACTAATGACTGTTAACTGACCCATTTCTATCTTTCAGCAGAAGGGTCACATACTGAATGGGCTCCTCCCCACGTCAGGCCTGAGGTACATACTGCTACTTGGGCTATCCCTGTTCTGTGGATAGGAAGGACTCTAGTTTCCAGTCCAGCATCTTGTACCTTCTACCAGCCATAATTTGGGCTGAATCTATGCATTCACTTCTGCTGCTCAAAACAGGGCATGAGCAAGTTTAGTGCTATCTTGGGATGCATGAATCACAGAGACCAAGCAACTCCAAGTATGTAATGCCCAACACTGTCCACACAGAGTCCTGTGGCACCTTTAAGACTAAGGTCTGGTCTATACTACCCGCCTGAATCGGCGGGTAGAAATCTACCTCTCGGGGATCGATTTATCGCATCCCGTCGGGACGCGACAATCGATCCCCGAATCGGCGCTCTAACTCCACCAGGGGAGGTGGTAGTAAGCGCCGCCGACAAAAAGCCGCAGAAGTCGATTTTGCCGCCGTCCTCACAACGGGGTAAGCCGGCTGTGATACGTCGAATTCAGCTATGCTATTCACGTAGCTGAATTTGCGTATCTTAAATCGACTCCCCCCTGTAGTGTAGATGTACCCCCAGTGGATAGGGCTCTGGAGTTGGAGTCAGGAGACTCTGGTTCTGC